TTAACATAATATTTTACAGTATATAAATATCAACAATAGAATAGTTTTAAAGCAATGATGTGTCTAATGGAGCTCAGCACCTCCACCCCTTTCTTTATACCCATATGGAAGAAAAATATATTTGAAATATATTTTTAAAAAATTCTTCCCAAATATAGTGCCATATATTTTGCCATATTTTGGCCATATTCTATATAATATATATATATATATATATATATATATATATATATACAGTGGGGATCGAAAGTTTGGGCACCCCAGCTAAAAATTTGTATTAATGTGCATAAAGAAGCCAAGGAAAGATGGAAAAATCTCCAAAAGGCATCAAATTACAGATTAGACATTCTTATAATATGTCAACAAAAGTTAGATTTTATTTCCATCATTTACACTTTCAAAATAACAGAAAACAAAAAAATGGCGTCTGCAAAAGTTTGGGCACCCTGCAGAATTTATAGCATGCACTGACCCCTTTGCAAAGCTGAGACCTGCCGGTGTCATGGATTGTTCTCAATTGTCATCTGGGAAGACCAGGTGATGTCAATCTCAAAGGTTTTAAATGCCCAATCTCAAAGGTTTTAAAGGGCTGACCTTGACCCTCTGAGGACGTGCATGGCACGAAACGCGTCAGAGGGCTACAGCTTATGGACATCTAGCCACTATATGTGGCCAACATTCTATGGTCAGTAATTTTTGTTGTTTCACCTTTTTGACCATTAAACCTGAGTCAAACAGCATCACACTATGTGGCGTCCTTTATTGGGCTCTCTTTGAGAGCACCATCTCCCACAGTGCCTATCTGGACTAAGGAGTACTTTGACGCCCATACGGTTTGATGAATCCTGGCTACTGTTCTTCGCAGTGAGAATAGTACGCAGTGCGATCTGACCAGAGCTCTGATGCTGGAGAGATCTTGCAGATTATATTTCTCTACATGCGTTATTTTAACGCACCTCTGGTGAGTGCGCACTCTATCTGCTCCTAGGATTTCTTCACCTCTCTTCAACCATTAATCTGGGATGAGGACTTTATGTGTGCTTTAACATTTCTTATTGATTAACGCACTGTTTACCATTGTGTCACATCTTTTTGACCACTGACATTCACACGTATATATACCTTATAGAGAATTATTTGTATTCTGATTCTAGCGCTGCACCTATTTTTCTCTTTCTATTGATCATTGTAAGGTGGGTTGGTTGCCTTTTTTGGTGTTCTAGCTGCTTGTGCATTTCTGTCTGTAGCGCTCGCTATACCTTTTTTACACTATGTGCTAGAATTATTGCTCTCCCTATAACATTCATGGTAATGCCTTACACATGTGGCGCGAACACCATTTACATATGCATATGCCGGGTGTAATTTACAGTATCTGTTCTTATTCTGTACGCATGGGCTCTGCACAGTGGCACTTCTCTTGTTCTGTATGCCGGGTGTAATTCTCAGTATCTGTTCCTATTCTGTATGTATGGGCTCTGCACAGTAGCACCTCTCTGGCTCTGTATGCTGGGTGTAATTCTCAGTATCTGTTCCTATTCTGTATGTATGGGCCCTGCACAGTAGCACTTCCCTTGTTCTGTATGCGGGGTGTAATGCTCAGTATCTGTTCCTATTCTGTATGTATGGGCCCTGCACAGTAGCACTTCCCTTGTTCTGTATGCTGGGTGTAATTCTCAGTATCTGTTCCTATTCTGTATGTATGGGCTCTGCACAGCAGCACTTCTCTGGTTCTGTATGCTGGGTGTAATTCTCAGTATCTGTTCCTATTCTGTATGTATGGACTCTGCACAGTAGCACTTCCCTTGTTCTGTATGCTGGGTGTAATGCTCAGTATCTGTTCCTATTCTGTACGTATGGGCTCTGCACAGTAGCACTTCTCTGTATGCACTTCTCTGTCTCCCTTGTTCTGTATGCGGGGTGTAATGCTCAGTATCTGTTCCTATTCTGTATGTATGGGCCCTACACAGTAGCACTTCTCTTGTTCTGTATGCTGGGTGTAATGCTCAGTATCTGTTCCTATTCTGTATGTATGGGCCCTGCACAGTAGCACTTCTCTGGTTCAGTATGCGGGTGTAATGCTCAGTATCTGTTCCTATTCTGTATGTATGGGCCCTGCACAGTAGCACTTCTCTGGTTCAGTATGCTGGGTGTAATTCTCAGTATCTGTTCCTATTCTGTATGTATGGGCCTGCACAGTAGCACTTCTCTGGTTCTGTATGCCGGGATGTAATTCTCAGTATCTGTTCCTATTCTGTATATATGGGCTCTGCACAGCAGCACTTCCCTTGTTCTGTATGCGGGTGTAATTCTCAGTATCTGTTCCTATTCTGTATGTATGGGCTCTGCACAGCAGCACTTCTCTGGTTCTGTATGCTGGATGTAATTCTCAGTATCTGTTCCTATTCTGTATGTATGGACTCTGCACAGTAGCACTTCCCTTGTTCTGTATGCTGGGTGTAATGCTCAGTATCTGTTCCTATTCTGTACGTATGGACTCTGCACAGTAGCACTTCTCTGGTTCCGTATGCCGGATGTAATTCTCAGTATCTGTTCCTATTCTGTATGTATGGGCTCTGCACAGCAGCACTTCTTTGGCCTGTATGCTGGCTTTAATTCTCGGCGTATATATCAAGTCTACATGGCGCTACTGTTCTTGCACAATGAAATTGCTAATTGCCATCTAATCCTTTTTTTTTTTATTACTATGTGCATGTGTATGTAATTTAAAGCCACACCCCTTACACTATTTAGCCACACCCAGTTGTGCTGCAGCACATGCTAGCTCCCTATCATCATATAAACTGTTCTCCCAGGTTGACATCTCTACTTCTGATGTTTATAGCGCTTTATTTTCACTTCTACCATAGAGTCTCCTTTTGGGTAAAAGTTGCTAAATCTTCAGGTCACATTATTTTTAATTGCAGGAAATGTTATTCACTAATCTGTTGCCAATTAGGAGATTTTTTTCCTGTGTTCCTATCAGAAGACATTACAGTCAGGCAGCCTTTGTCTTAATTGGGAGAGGATTATAAAGGTCACAACAAATATCCCTATTAATGAAAGGTACATAAAAATCCGGAGGGAGACGCGAAGGGTGCAGCATTCTTAGGCCTCTTGCACACGGTACTGATGTTTACGCATGAGCATTTCTGGACGTAATTTTAGGCACTTGTGTTGCATGTATTCGCACGTATTTATGCGCATATTTGCAATTGCACATACAATACATTCATTAGTCAAATTCTATCAATATTCAAAATATTTATGCTCATATGCACGTAATTGTGCATACTCACATATTCCTACTGACTAGGAATATACATTTCTCCGTTCTACTTTTTATTTTTTTTAACTCAAGAAAACACAGCATTTGATACATGCCTGTGTGTACAGACAGATTGTAAACAATGGGCTGCATTTCAGATCAGATTAAAAAAAACACCATAATGTGCTTTTTCAAGCTGCAGTGTGCAAGAGGCCTAAAAGTGGTTGTAAAGGCTCAAAAGGTAGAAAAAAAACAAACAAAACTTCTGTTTGCAGTACCCCCCAGCACCCATAACATTTTCCACGATCCAGTGTTGTACAGCTGTTGCCTCAGCTCGCCGGGGACTCTCCCTCCTCATTGGCTGAGACAGCAGCCAATGAGGGAGAGAGAGGGGGTTGGGTCAAGCTGCAGCTCTGTGTGTGAATGGACACACAGCAGTGACTTGGGAGCGAGCCTGCTTGGGTGCCCTCATTGCAAGTGGTTTGCTCTGGGGGCACTCAGCAGGAAGGAGGGTGCCCGTGGCGGACCAGAGAAGAGGAGGATCAGGGCTGCTTTGTGCAAAAACACTACACAGAGCAGGTAAGTATGACAGTCTTTTTTTTTTAATTGCGTTTAATATCCCTTTAAAGGCTAGATTCACCTTTTGAAAAAAAAAATTATAAATGCACATTTTTTGCAGGTAAAAAATTTGAATAAATTTTTTTTTTTAAGCTGACTGTAAAGCATTGCACCTGTCATCTTCAGATCATGGGTGCAATCTCAGGCTCCTGCAGACTCTCAGAACAGCTGTCTGCCCATACCTCATATGGGGAGGCAGTTATGTGAGAGCAGAAAGATCAATGAACTACCAGAACACTCACCAGCACCCTTGTAATTGATCAAGAACTGCAGGCCATCAGCCAGAATGGATGATGGTACTTGTAGTCTATTCATTCATAGGAAACTATGAATGAATGATGCAGCCATGTGGGCTCCCGCCTGCTGTCACAGGGTGAGAGGGATTGAAGGGAGAGGGTGCAGATGCTGGAACATGTTACATGTTTCAGCCTAAAAAAAAATGGGTAGAACATGTAACATGTTCCATAGGTGAACTTTATCCTTTAAAATAGGGAAAGAGACCAAAACCACCAAGAAAAAAAAATGTAACACCTTTATTGGTTCTGGATAACAATGTTAAAGGTGACATTCACGACATGTCACAATATACAGCATTAAGTCACCCTAGTTGCTCTAGTCCAATGACTTTACTTACGCTGAGCATGTGTCATTAGTCTGCTGCAGGCAGGAAAAACTATTTCCTCAGTCTACCTTCCCTTAAGGGTCTATTTATGAAAAAAATTAATCATTTGGTTACATTTATATTCTAATTCCCTTTAGTGTTTTCTAAAATTGTTACATTGTATCTGTTGTTACAATATGTATTTCTATGTCCTCAGTTGCATCTGTTGGTCATAATATGTCATTTTACAGCTGCCCACAATAAAAGAACATTGGTTCAGAAGAGAAAGTAGCCTAATAACATTTTGTTTTTGCCCGTTTTACACAGAACTAATGTTAATGCAGATTTGCTGGATAAATGGCTATGCAAACTTTTATAGAAACCTGGCTAAAAAGACTGAATTTAGCGGGGTGGCAGTGGACATAGTATACTTGGACAGAGGGGTGGCGGTGGACGTGGTATACTTGGACAGAGGAGTGGCGGTGGACGTGGTAGACTTGGACAGAGGGGGTGGCGGTGGACGTGGTATACTTGGACAGAGGGGTGGCGGTGGACGTAGTATACTTGGACAGAGGGGTGGACGTAGTATACTTGGACAGAGGGGTGGCGGTATACTTGGACAGAGGGGTGGCGGTGGACGTAGTATACTTGGACAGAGGGGTGGCGGTAGATGGTATACTTGGACAGGGGGGGGGTGGCGGTGGACGTGGTATACTTGGACAGAGGGGTGGCGGTAGACATGGTATACTTGGACAGAGGGGTGGCGGTAGACATGGTATACTTGGACAGAGGGGTGGCGGTGGACATGGTATACTTGGACAGAGGGGGGGGTGGCGGTGGACGTGGTATACTTGGACAGAGGGGTGGCGGTGGACGTGGTATACTTGGACAGAGGGGTGATGGTGGACATGGTATACTTGGACAGAGGGGTGGCGGTGGACGTGGTATACTTGGACAGAGGGGGGCGGTGGACATGGTATACTTGGACAGAGGGGTGGTGGTGGACGTGGTATACTTTGATTTTGCAAAAGCGGTTTGAGAAAGTTCTCCACACACGGCTAATGTGTAAGGTAAAGTCTACAGGCTTGGAAAAATCCATATGTAAATGGATAGAAAACTGGCTAAAAGATGGTATTCAGAGAGTAGTGGTTAATGATTCATACTCTGAATGGTCTGGAGTCATCAGTGGTGTACCCAGGGTGCAGTGTTGGGCCCTTACTTTTTAATATATTTATAAATGATATAGGGTCTGGGATTAAACCTCCCATTTCAGTCTTTGGAGATGAAAGCTGTGCAGTGGAATAACATCCTTACAGGACGTCTTCAACTTACAAGCCGACCTCAATGCACCGTTTAATTGGACAACTATGTGGCAAATGAGGTTTAATGTTGATAAATGTAAGGTTATGCACTTGGGGGCTAAGAATATGCATGCATCATACATACTAGGGGGAGTACAACTGGGGGAATCAATGGTGGAGAAGGACCTGGGGTTCTGGTAGATCACAATGCTTAATAATGGCATGCAATGCCAAGCTGCGGTTTCTAAAGCGAGCAAAATCCTCTCTTGTATTAAAAGAGGTATAGACTCCAGAGAGAGATATATCATTCTACCCCTGTACAAATCATTAGTAAGACCTCATCTGCAATATGCAGTTCAGTTTTGGTCACCAATTCACAAAAAGAACATTGGGGAACTGGAGGAAGTACAGAGAAGGGCAACCAAACTGATAAGAGGCATGGAGGAGCTCAGCTTTGAGGAAAGATTAGAGGAACTGAATTTATTCTCTCTTGAGAAGAGGAGATTAAGGGGGGATATGATCAACATGTATAAATACATCAGTGGTTCATATAGTGAACTCGGAGTAGAGCTATTCACTTTAAGGTCATCACAGAGGACAAGGGGCACTCTCTATGTCTGGAGGAAGAAATTTAATCTCCAAATACGGAAAATCTTCTCGACAGTAAGAGCTGTGAAAATGTGGAATAGACTCTCTCAAGAGCTGGTTCTGGCCAGTTCAGTAGATTTGCTTTAAAAAAAAAGGGAAAAAAAACTGGATTCTCTCCTAAATGCACAGAATATAATTGGATACTAATATTTATAGATAAAAAGGTGATTCAGGGAATATCCGTTCGCCTCTTGGGAGATCCTGAAGGATTTCTCTCCCCTGCTGGAGCAAATTGGATCATGCTTAGCTGGGGGAGGGGGGGTGGGGTTCCTTCCTCTGGATCAACTGTGGGTGTAGGATCGTGAACATGGGGTTGTGACTATTTTTTTTTTTTTCTTTTTATTGGTTAAACTAGATGGACTTGTATTTTTTCAACCAGACTATGTAATTTATATATATAAACCCTATTGGTCATCATTCTGCATATTATACATTTTTTGAGATACTGTATATGCTGACTTAAAATAATGTCCAAGCAAAGACTGCTCCATCCTTCTGCAGCAAAACACAGATGAAAGCATCGTCAGTCACTTTGATCGCTGTAAGAAGTAATAAACACCTGAGTTACACTGGCACATCGCTTGTCATGAATGCACTTGCTTTGAAAAAAAATATATATGATGCTAGAATCACTTTAAATACAAGCGGATGAGATGTGACATTGCCCTGAACTCATCAGAGAAAAAAGAATAAACTAGCAGACTAATGTGTGCAATTAGCTCACATCTAATGCTCCTGCAGTCCTAGAAAGAAAAGTGTTCTTGAAGGGAAAGGTCTCTGCTTTCATGCTGAGAAATCCAGAATTGCCATATTTAAAGGATCAGTCCACCCGTATGTTGAATATAATTTATTGGTGGTGAGTCACTAAACTCCCAAATCTGTTCCTGACCTGACCACCTACTTGGGAGTATTTATATATATATATATATATATATATATATATATACTGTATATATACAATATATATTTTTTAATGTAACATACTTTCAAAATACTGTTTTTGTGCTGTTCGCCTAAAGCTCGGTTCACAGCTATGCAGGTTGCGTTTGAGCCGTTTCTGCATTGCGTTTTTAATGCGTTTTTGATGCGTTTTGCGTTCTTTTTCATTGTTTTTTATTTTTCTTGTTGCTAGGTAGATTGAAAATACAAAATGCATCAAAAACACGGCAACAACGCATCAAAAACTCAATGCATGTTTTTCTGCAGCATTTCCATTGAAGTCTATAGAACCAAAAAGGCAACTTTTTGAGTTAAAAAAAAAGTCCCTTACCCTTTCCAAAAAACACACCGGGTGAAAACGCGGAGATGTGAGCATGTCCCATAGGAAATCATGTTAAATGGACTGTAATGCTCTTTTAGATTGTAAGCTCCAAGGAGCAGGGCCTTCCTAACCCTCTTGTATTGAACTGTATTGTTGCTGTATTGTCTCCCGTTATATTGTAAAGCACTGAGCAAACTGTTGGCGCTATATAAATCCTGTATAATAATAATGCATTTCTGCGGAAGCGCTTAGGTGTGAACCTAGGGTAAGAGAAATGATTACTCACACTTTCTTCTGGATATAAATGCCCAGGGATCTATATATCCCCAACCCAGTTGAGTCTTAAAGCGACCATGACTACATCACCTGTTTCTATCAAGTGTGTTTCTGTGCCAGGACCATCCAGCTGTCACTGAGACGTCTTGGCAGACAGAATAGTAAGGATCTATTTTTAGGGTTCTGCCCTTCTGATCCAGATAATTTATCAGTTTACAATTCACAGCCACCCCCTTGAAAGACAAATTCTGAAAGACATGTAAAGAATGGCTTTACCTGTAAAGAATGCAACACTGTAGAGCAGTAAAATCTCCTTGTCAAAGGAATTTATTGCCTTGCCTGTGTTGCATTATGCCTATAGAGCAGTGGTTCTCAACCTTCCGTGACCCTTTAATACAGTTCCTCATGTTGTGGTGACCCCCAACCATAAAATTATTTACCCAGTAATTATAATTCATGAGTGTCGTTTTACCTCCAATACTGCTGCTTTCAACACAGTAGCTGCTTTTAACAGAGTAGCTGCTTTCAACACAGCAGCTGCTTTCTACACAGTAGCTGCTCTTTACACATCGGAAATATGTGTTTTCTGATGGTCTTAGGGGACCCCTGTGAAAGGGTTGTTCGACCCCCAAAGGGGTCGCGACCCACAGGTTGAGAACCACTGCTATAGAGGCTTGTCAAGTATCCTGTGTGCCCAACAATGCCTCCACTTTGCTGATGGATGTGTTCTCAGTGGTGGGATTCTGACACTTTGGGGGAGATTTATTAGAATCTGGTGCAGCTGTGCATGGTAGCCAATCAGCTTCTAACTTCTGTTCAATTTGGCAAAAGAAAAAACAAAAACTGGAAGCTAATTGGTTGCTATGCAGAGCTACATCAGATTTTGCACTCTCCTGTTTTAGTAAATAACCCCATTTGAGCTCATTCACACGGGCAGAAAAAAATGTTGTGTTTAAATGTGTACAGCAGATAGTTTTGTAGGCATCTAAATGCAGCACTCAATCAATCAGTCAATGAGCCCATATACACAGCTGCATCTACATACGAAAATGTGTTCTGAATTTAGCCATGCACAAAAAAAAAGTAGGACACAGCTGCAGATTTTACACGCATATGCGCATAAACATGTATAAGTGTGCATGAACGCAAGTACTTATGCAGGCCATAGATGGGTCGAAAATCGGCCCAAAAGTCGTCCGAAAGAATAATCGGCCGATTTTCAGATCGTTAGTGGGTGAATTTGTCATCCGTTTTTTCTTGATTCTGACACATTTTTTAAATCGGTTTAATAAGTTGGGAAAAAAATCGGCCGAATTTGCAGATCGGCCGATTTTCGTGCCAATGATGGGCAAATTGGCCGATCTTTTTACCGATTAAACAAATGCGCATGAGCTGTGACCTGCAAGAAGAAGAAGAAAAAGAAGAAACAGAATAAGAAGAAGATGAAGACAAAAAGAAAAAGAAGAACATCTGTACTTTTAAATGTCATGAATAGTGAAGTGCCCCTGCAGAGAGCTCCGTCCGTTATTATATTTGACATTTAAAAGTATAGCAAAGTTGCAACATTGTAACCATTTGTATCTGAATAGAAACCTATGTATCCGAAATGGATAAAAATAGATACAATGTTGCAACTTTGCTATACTTTTAAATGTCAAATATAATAGTGGAGCTCTCTGCAGGGACACTTCACTATTATATTTGCCGGCGGCCGTAGACGGGACGAAAATCAGCCAACTTTTTTTTTACCAATGGTGGTAACGTCGGCTGATTGAATGACCGATTTTTCATTTTTCTACTAAAAAAAAAACGTCCTGTTTTCTCCCCGTCTATGGCCTGCATTAGGCATGTATTTTATGCAGGATCTTCTAGCTTTGCTAGCAAGAACCTTTCTTTCATGCAGAAAATACATATACGCCTGTGTGAATGAGCCCTTATAGTTTTCAGTGCCAGGCATCTAGTACCAATGGCTAGTCTTAACCACTTACCCTCCTGAAGATTTACCCCCCTTCCTGACCAGGCCATTTTTTGCATTACGGCGCTGCGTTACTTTAACTGACAATTGCACATTAATGTAACACTGCAACCAAATTAAATTTACGTCCTTTTTTCCCACAAATTGAGCTTTATTTTGGTGGTATTTGACCGCCTGTGCATTTTTTATTTTTTGCGCTATAAAAAAAAAGCTACAATTTTGAGAAAAAAACAATATTTTTGACTTTTTGCTATTAAACATGTCCAGTAAAAATTTTTTAAAAATCAATACATGTACAGTTGTGGCCAAAATTATTCAACCCCCAATGCTGTAAAGGGGTTTAGGGACTATAGTGTACATTTGGAATTGTATTCAGAATCAAATCCTACAAGGACGTTGTAACTACCCAAATGCAACTAAAATGACATCAATTGTTTATGTAATACAGTAGTAAATGGTTCTTATGTGGTTTCTTCATTGCCACAATTATTCAACCCCTTAGACTACCACTCTGAAGAACAGAGGTTCATACAGGTGCTTTCCATCAGGTATTGAAA